TAATAATAATAATAATAATAATAATAATAATAATAATAATAATAATAATAATAATAATACCACCTTAGCAATACTTACTTGTTCCAGTGGAATGACAAGGAAAGAGCCCCCACCAGCACTTTCTGTTACTATGGCAAGGAATCTGGTATTAACGGCACAGAAATGGTTGTCATGGACATTCCTGGTGATTGGAATCCCATCAAAGCAGTGCTCTCGATTGGCTACTTTGCCATAGACATTTCGAAACTTGGAACTGCGATATTGTGGCCGCCATGACATCTGCCAAGGAAACAGACATTGTGTGAGAAATGCTATTATGTACAAGTAGAATCTCACCCTGTACTCCATTTGGATGGAGCGCCCCGGAGGGGAGCCTTCCAAGCGAAGCAGATGAACAGAACCAGAGTTTGGGCCAAAACATTCTCTGTTTCCCACAACTCTCAGGCAGAAAATCCAGAGTTCAGAGACATTTCAGTTGGGCTAAGCAAGAGACTGCCTAGAAGCGTTCCTGCCCTTCTGACATTTTAGCCATTGAAAGCAATAAAACCCAGCATCCCTCTCAAAGAGGAAAACATCCTTTCAACCCACCAGAAGTGTCTCAACCCAGAGTCCCTTCTCACCGTAGGGAAATACTTAGGAAAATACTACTTCAAGGGGCTCAAGGGCTCCTGGGGATCTACAGGAAACCAAAGCTAACAAAGCAATGTCAGACTTCTCTCCAAGACAGCCTCCTTGACCCTCATAACAGAAGACTCACCGTTCGGAGGGCATTTAGATTTTATGTTCCACTTCTCTTTATAAAAGAAAAGTCAAAGGACCTACTGAAAAGGTCCAGTCATGAACCTCAATATAATAATAATAATACTATATAATAAGACGAAAACCTAGAATATCGTAATTTGGCCTTAGGCCTGGAGAAAGTCTCCAGCCCATATGGAAAGCTCCATGGAAATCCTATTTTTCAGCCAACTGCAAAAACTTAAGAGAAGAGAGTTCTGGCCCGAACATCTTAGGGAGTAACTCTCACAAGACGGGTGGGAAGCACCCCTGGCCAAATGTATAAACACTGTAATTTTGGAAGAGGTAGGAGCTCTCTGAGCAGAAGGAAAGGTGAGAGAAAACAGGCCTCTTAATATCTTTAGGCCAGATGCTTTGATGTTGGGAAGATCTGCAATTGGAGATGTGTGTTGGAAAGAGACTGGGAGGCAGTGCAGATAAAACAGGGCTGGAGTAACACCATCCACAAAGGCAGTATCTCACTTGCTATCAACCGAAATGTCTAAATGCTTCTTGAAGCGAACACTACAAAGACTATTACAGAGATCTAATCAGGATACGATTAGGATCTTTACATCAATAGATATGCACCAGCTGCATCCTTATCTGAGCAGAAGGACCAGGCTTCAGAAATTCATGCCCTCAGCAGCACCTGGCTGAACTACCGCAATATACTTTACATGGGATTGCCCTTTAAGACTATATGGAAACTGCAACTGGGCCAGAATGAACAGCCCATGCATTTGCCAACCCCCAGTGATAGGAGCCCAGAACACTGATTTTGTGGATCTTACATTGGTTGCTGGATATAATTTAAGGGACTAGCTTGGCACCTGTGGGTACCTGCAGGACCAACCTCTCCCATCAGAACCAGCCTCATCCTTTAGGTTAGTGCTTCTCAACCTTGGCAACTTTAAGATGCATGGACTTCAACTCCCAGAAGTTTGACTGGGGATTTATGGGAACCATGCATCTTAAAATGGCCAAGGTTGAGAAACGGGGCTTGAAGTCTTTAGTACTCCTGATGGTCCCACACTTTCTGGGAGCGAAGGATTAGGCGACACATTTCTGTGGTGGGCTGTTTTGCTCTAAGACGGCTTCCCCTCAGAGAACAGAATTATTCAGAAAGGCATTTTCTTTATTTCTTGATGTAATATATTGTAGCACTTATTATTATTTATATTCATATTGTTATTTATTCTTGTATTTTGCTGATGTCTTAATTGTTATGGGCATCCCAGCTATAGCCAGCTATGCAATGAAGAGCCTGGAATTGCTGCCACGAGACCCTCCTGCTCCCAAGAGGGCTGAAACTGGACATCAGCTGGGCAAGATCCTCACTGCCACAACCTCTACCTGCCCTTCCCAAAGGACGACTCCACTGAAGTCAAGGAGGCTTTCAGGGTGGGAGCCGAGCCATTCTGCATCCAGGAATCTGAGGACTAAAAATATCGGCCTTTGGAGCCCCTGTCACTGTAAAGCTTGCCTTAGACAGGAAGTGAGACTTTATTATTTTGTCTCCAGTAAGACTAGAGCACAACAGAAGATCAAGAAATAAATCAAATGGCTCAATTACATGACCCCGTCTCCATGCTTTACCACTAGACATTGCAATTTTCACAGAATGGATGGTTTAAATCAGGGGTCCCCAAACTTGACAACTTTAAACCAAGTTTGAAGATCTCTGCTGTAAACAATACTAATCTTTTGTTCTGGACATACAAGCAGAAGCTACCTGGCTGTTGCCCTGGTTTTTCTAGAAGGCTCTTTGGGGTGACAAAAGCCAGCAGGAGCTAGAAGTGCCTTGAAGGGAGCTGGGTGAGGTGTGTCTCCTTCATGGGATGAATGGCTCCTTCAGGGGCCAAGAGGAAGAAAGTTCACACAGCACAAAAACAGTCCTTGGGGCCACATGAGAGTCTAGGACAGAGAGAGCTCCCACACACCCTCCTAAGCCAACGCCCCTATTCCCACACCCTAAAACAAAAGAAGAAAAAGGAGGACCAGCTTCATCCAAGACTGTCCTGCAAAGCTCAAATGTCTGGTAGTGAATTCAGGAGATTACATCATTTAAAGTGAGGCTCTTAGGAAGGAAGGAAGTTACATTTCATTTGTTGCTGAAGGCCAAAATATCAATATATTACAATAGGAGGAAAGTTGTCAGCTTGAAAACAATCAGACGCTACCCAAGAAAAGAGTCGCTTTGGGTGCTTGTCTTAGACTCAGGAGTAGATTCTGTGAATTTGCTCAGTCAACAAATATGTTCCCATCAACTAGCCCAGAATCTTAGCAAAGAATTTTCACTTTTAAAATTGTGCTCTAAAATCAAGTCTGATCACTATGACTTCTACAGAAATTATACTGCATTCACAGTATTGCAATTAACCATTATTCTCTTATTTGCATTTATATTTTGCTTCCCCCCATTCCCCGAGAAATCAAGATGTCTTACATGATTTATTCTCACACAAAGATTAAGGAAGAGAGGAATCCAAGGCTCCCAGAACCTTTCCATGTTAGGGGGTGGACTTGAACCTGAGTCTTCCTCCTGCAACAAATTTATGCCCAGGACTCCCGAATCTTTCTTAATTCCTAGACTGGGACCCTTCCTATTATTCAGAGGTGACTATGCTTCAAAATATGGGTGATGGTCTACCAAAGAGNATATTGTGGCCGGGTGGGGGTGGGGTGGGGAATCATGATAAGGGAGTCATTTTCATAAAAGCCAGTAAGAACATAATGTCAGGGAAGTTAGATTTCTGAGTTTAATCTGTTCTTTTCAGTAGTTTCTAGGTTACCTTAATTTATTTCTGCTAAATATAGAAGCATATTAATTAGAAAGCTGTTCACTTCAAGAGGCTTCAGTTGATTGCAAAGAGATAAACTCATTTTACTTTCCCAATCCTCCCATTAATTATGAAAAGGCCCAAAGGTATGATCCCTTTCCCAACCGCTGACTTCAGAATCAGCTTTTCATCCTTCACTTTCTAACCCGAAGGAGGCAGTCATAATGGTCATGGGTTATCCAGGGTTGCAGGAGGAATTTTCTCCATCTTAGCAGGAAGGGCTAAATATTTACCTGCCATGAGTTGCATAAAATAGCAGGCATAGAATCTGGAGCTGAGATATAGAGTTGGTGCCCATAAATGGCCTGGCCCTCCAAGTGTGTAGGACTACGAATCCTATACTCTGCATAGCACAGAGATAGGGGAAGGTCAAGCCAACACAGTCCAGCCTCGCTCTATTTTTAACCATCCAGGGTCTGACTCTTGGTGACTTTATAGTGCTCTCCATGCTATCTTGTCAAACGCAGCTTCTTTCTGTTGTTGCATCAGATTTGATGTGATCAAGCCAGCCGTTCTTGCTCCACCAACCATTCCTAGCATTGTTGCCTTCTGCAATTAATTCACACGCATGACACCCCCAAAGTAATTCACATGTAATCGTATGATTTTAGCTTCTAGTGATGTTTCTGGTTTTATACGATTTAACACCCCTGTGTTAGTTACTCTGGCTGTCCAAGGGATACCCAGTCATTTGCCCCAGCACCACAGTTCAAAGGCGCCAATTCTTCTTCTTCAATCAGCCATTCTTAGAGTTCTTAGTGTCTGACTCCTACACCCATACGTCATTATAGGGAAGACTATTGCTCTAACTAGCCTGCTTTTTGCTTTTATAGCCATATCTCTGCTTTTCCAGATCTTATTCATGTTGACCCCTGCAGAGCGGCCGAAGGTAGTCCTGTGTTTGAGAGAGAGGCTGTTCCAAGCACTTGAAAGCAATAGTCTCACTCAAGAAGGCACCTATGAGGCTCAGGGGCAAATTCAGCATACAGGATATTGTTTAATCCAGCCAGCTTGATTAAAAGTAGCAGGTGGCAGGGTGGAGCTGAAGACTCCTGAGCACTCCTTCTTGGCACCAGTGATGATGCCCCCATCTGCTGTGCAGCCAGCCCCATGGCCCCTTTTAACAGGTTTGGAGATGCACGGCGGGATGCTCATTGAATGTCTGTTGGTAGGGGCACAAACACACTCGGGAAAGTTGCAGTATGAAGCAGCTGCTTTGGCCAGCAGACAGAGGGGATAGCGGGTGAGAATCCAGCCCATCTCGGATCCAGGCTATAGCTGTTTTTCTCTGGATGTCATAACTTTGGAATCAGGTCATTAGCTTTTGGAAATCCACTGTAACTTCAAACAGTTGCTAAGCGACCGGGGATAAGTTATGTTATATTCACAATCATTCTCTGACTATTCTGGTAGCTGCTTAAAGTGACCTGAAGAGCATCACACTCCTGTTGCTCTATCAGGAGATCTTTTATTTTTGCTCAGCATTCAGGGACTGGCTATTAAATGGTGCCCACCTCCACCTCATATGTTTCGTCCCCGCCACAAAAATGTTTTGTCCCCGCCACAAAAAAAAAAATGTTTGCAGAAGGTAAAACAAAAGTAATTTCTCTCCCGGACTGAAAACTGAGATCACCCAAGTTCTGTTCCAATAATAATAAC